TAATAAAAACTCTTAGAGGTTAGAAATATATCAAAGCGTATATTACATAGTAATATTTTGTTATCAACCACCGATTAAAATATTTATTTCAATATTCAGTAGCTGCCTAAATTTGGTAATAAAAACTCTTAGAGGTTAGAAATATCAAAGCGTATATTACATAGTAATATTTTGTTACCAACCATCGATTAAAATATTTATTTTGATATTCAGTAGCTGACTAAATTTAATAATAAAAACTCTTAGAGGTTAGAAATATATCAAAGCGTATATTACATAGTAATATTTTGTTACCAACCATAGATTAAAATATTTATTTTGATATTCAGTAGCTGACTAAATTTAATAATAAAAACTCTTAGAGGTTAGAAATATATCAAAGCGTATATTACATAGTAATATTTTGTTACCAACCATAGATTAAAATATTTATTTCAACAAAAATCTTTAAACGATAAAAATACATCAAAGCGTATATTATATAGTAATATTTTGTTACCAACTATCGATTAAAATATTTATTTCGATATTCAACAGCTGGTTAAATAAAATCTTTATTGCAACAATATAATATTAAAATAAAATATTTATTGCAATATTCGCAATACAATTGACATAATTCCTTAAATGGTGTTAACGATATATTAAAGTCCGTTAAAAGTGAAGAAACTATCAGGATATGTAGCCACTAAATAAACAAATAATATTATCTCTAATAATCCCTAAATTCCAAGAATAGAGATATATCGTATCAATGATTGATATCAAGGAGAAAAACAGGTATTTTCATAATAACACTATCGACTGAATCGATTCGAGTGTTCCAATTCGCTATATGAAATTTGATTATGATTATTACAACCAGTTATAAATTCGTGGAAAAGTACGACGATCGGTACACACAGAGAGATTCATCATTTGCCGAATCATCGATTCGGAATATCTGTCACAATTTTATTATTTGGGAGGGGGACAAGGATTTATCGATATCGTGATCTATTTCATTGCGAATGTTTGGACGATTGGTGTATTATCCACATATTATTCATCAATCGAAAATTTCAAATTGCTTCCTCGACCCTTTTCCTGTACAGGGCGGGAAATGATTCGCATAATCGAAATGGAAAGAGATATATTGTAATACATATATCGTATAAAATGAACTTAATATCTGTAGTTATATATTGTTATGACTGGATTCGATATTTGTGTAATTGAAATTTTTATGGAATACTAGGGAAATGGAAGATTCTCTCTTTTCTTTAAATATATAAATATCGCGTAATACGTACATTTGCTTTGGATGTATTTGTCCCCTGTTTGCATATTATTCTCGAAATTAATGTTACATTATAAGATAATATGTATAAATTGGATATATGTATATGCATAAAGTAATAATATATTTCGCGAAATAATAGTTAAAAATTATTATCTCTCTCTCTCTCTCTATATATATATATATATATACACATAAGATAAAAATTGTCGTGTAAACGTGTAATGTTATCGGATCTTTTCCATTTTTCTTCACGTTTTTTTTTCTTTTTTCGATATTATCTTATCCGATTATTATATTGCAAACAAAATAAATAATTTGTCTAACGTTATTTACTTTTTGTCATTATTTTAAAAAAACATGTAATAAATGTATACACGTATAATATAAATATACACAGATTCAAAATAACTCGACTTAACCTAACTCGAAAACATAAGTTTTTAACAAATTTATTTTCTATACTTAAATTTTCCATTTACTCCCTACACACCATATATACATGATATTTAGTAGCTAATTAAATTTACTAACAAAAATCTTTTAAGGATAAAAATACATCAAAGTGTATATTATATAGTAATATTTTGTTACCAACTATTGGTTAAAATATTTATTTTGATATTCAACAGCTGACTAAATAAAATCTTTATTGCAATTTTTATGTAATATTAAAATATTTATCGCAATATAAATTAATATATATTTTCGACATATATAACATATTTATTAAATTATTTGATAAATTTTTATGCACCAACTTTTTGTATCCTCTAACGTAAAACTATATATATACAGGGTGTCCTTGGATTAAACGATCAAATCAATATGTTCCATGAATAAAAGAACATATAG